GGCCCCGTCCAGGAAACATAGCCAGGCAGACGAGCTCCGAGCCAGCTACCATGTCAGAGGATGAAGAGAGCACATTCAGCGAGTCACGATCAGAGAAACAAGACTACACTGGAAAAACAGGCAGATCTCCAACATCTATAAACAAAGGTGTTGATGGTTTCTCTCCAGGATGGAGTCACAGCCAAACAGGACCAGACGAGGGAAAGCTACTATGATAAAAGGCAGAGAAAGCAGAACGTTAGAGATTAAACTAACAGATTCTGCAGAGTGGAAGAATAGAGATAGAATGAAGCAAAATGATGAAATAGTGGTCCCTATGTCCTCCAGCAGTCTAAACCTATAGCAGCCTAACTATAGCGAAAGCTCTAGATAATCTGAGCCACTCTAACTATAAACTTTATCAAAAAGGAAAGTTTTAAGCCTACCCTTAAAAGCAGACAGGGTGTCTGCCTCACGGACTAAAACTGGTAGTTGGTTCCACAAGAGAGGAGCCTGATAACTAAAAGATCTGCCTCCTATTCTACTTTTAGAAAAAAAAAAATTGGTTAATTAGTGTAACTACTTTAAAAACCAGGACCAGAGCTTGGTTTCAATCTCGTACATCCAATGCCACAGTCCCCACTAATGCATAATACTAATGTTACAACCAAGGTTAAAGCCAACATTTGCATGCTGTACATGTACACGTCGTTAATTGTTCTCCATGAGTCCATAACTATTACACACTACACTTGACTACAGCCAAAAAGATTAGAAAACCTTCAGTTCTTATTTTTATTTGTTGTTTGGTTAACCAATTAAATTGGTTGATCAGAAACCAATAGCTTGGTCAATTTCTGATTAATATATTGGTTAATCTAACCAGAATTGGTTTCACTAACTAGACACGGGCAGAGCTAGAAGGGGTGGCCATTGCCACCCTTAGGCAATCACTGGCCACTATTAACATTTTTCTCCCTCTAATACAGGTGGTGGCAACAGTAATACTCTCAAGTGGAGTATTAAAAACATTTTATTTTTGTGGTTAATTATACACATCAATATACTAACATCAAAGATGATAAATACAGAATTCATGCTCTTTTCAGAACTAGATTTTGTGTTATATGGGGTAAAGATAAAATTATGTGTCTCTGCAAGTCATTTAAGAGTCTTCAGTGAAATCAAAAATAACAATCTAAATAAAATAAAAATCAAATAATCAATTTATGTAGATATTAGTGCTTGTAAATATCAATTTTATGCATAATGTTTATTTATACAAATAAGTAATGACAATGATGATTGATTTATGCCCCAGAACTAAAAAACTGATTTTTATCCACTATACCTTTTATCTAGAAATTAAGGATGTTTAAATATATGCGTTTATTTGTTAGCAAAGGCTGTAGGAAATGTAGTTAGTCTTTATTTAGAAAATATGGATGTTTTGCTCATTCATTTTCCTGTTGGAACAGTATAGATTGACCTTGACGTTCTGGGGCCTATCCGCTTTCAGCCACCCCTCAGTATATATTAGTTATTGCCCTTATAGAAAATTTATGGCTACGCCTCTGCAACTAGATTGGTTCTCTTTCCAACAAATCCATTCTTAGAGTGTACCTTCATAGTGAAGCCATAAGCTCAATTATAGTTTTCCTTGTAACAGCTCATGTCAATTTCTCAACTTCTTGAAAAATATGTTTAAAAACAAAGAAGGTATGGCTGATTAAGATGAATAATACAGACCTAAGAGAGTAGCATGATTACCTATTTGGTTTTCTCAATCTGACCCCATGAACCTATTTGGACCTTCAATTCTGGAAAGACAGTTATAACGTTTTCCTCCAGTAAAGCATGTTTTTCACAGCAGAATGATTGACATCAAACTGTTTTATATCCAGGCACTCAGCTGGGTGGGCCCCTATGCCACCAGTTCAAATACTGGAGGGGGTGGGTGTCTCATTTTGGCATGACCTTAACAGTGACTCTGCAATGCTGCTGTTTTCTGTGGAGTCATCTCTGTGATGCACCAGCCAACCAGTCGAAGGTGTATCCTTCATCTCCCTCTGGGAAAAGGCCCAATCCTAACCGCTGCAGCTATAAACAAACTGAAGCAGGTGTGCAAAGTAAATAATGATCACAGCATTTGCTATATTTCTTTATTTCATTCCAGTTTCCTTCTTAACATTGGTCTAAAGGCAACAGATATGGAAAAAATCACCTGTTATTACTGGTTCTCAGGTGACAAACTTATAAATGTTTGTGAAAGCTTCCCATTTGGCTTTCTGAAGTGATAAAGCTTTAATATAGGGTTCCTAAATTTGATTCTACCCTCTTGCTCAACAGGATTGTTTGAACTTATGGATGAAAAAATAAAATAAGGCATTAAGAACCAAACTACAGCCTGTTCAGCTCCACAGTTTGACCATTTTTCTTTCCATATTTGGAAGAAAACCTGAAAGGATGATTCTTATTGGGGCACCTACTGAGTTCTATAGATTATTATTTCAAAATAGATTTTAGTGTTGGCAAAGATAGCTGAAAGGATTTAGGACATTTACTGATTAAAGGTCTAGACACTTCATATTTTTGCCCTCTGCAACATGTCTTAACGTGGATTTAACATCCAAAGCAGCAGGATTATTTACTGTGTACCACATATAAGCCACAAATCCTACCAGTGAGTATTTTAAAACTGTAATTTTTCTGCAGCCGACTCTGATCTGCACTTACTTTAAATCTCTAAGATCCTTAAATCAAATCTTCCAGTTATGATTTGGGTGTGTTTAAAAAAAACCTGAAATGAACAGCTAAGACATGAGGAAACATTCACCCAAAAATGCAGAAAATTAACGGTATTTGTTTTAAAAACATCTGGAAAACATGTTAGAAATATGTCTCTGCAAATTTCAATGACATGAGGTGTTGTGAATCGGCGCTAAATAAACAAACTGAATTGAATTGTAAATTAACTGGTTCTAAATGACTACAATACCTCAGCAGGTCTTGGATAAAATAATGTTAAAGCTAAATCTAAATATAAATGTTTTGTATTTATCTCTGTCTGTAACACTGATGATATACAGTAATAGTAATTTTGGCATCCCTGGCTAATATGTTTATAAAAATAATAACCTTTGACCTTGAAGTTTTAATCATTGTCGACTAAACCTCTGTGCTTAAGAATTTCCATTTTAGAGATGTTGTATTTTTACTTTTCATTTCAAAGCTGGTCTCAGTGCTCTTTTCAGGTTATCTGCATGTATTAGATAAATGATGATGAACTGAAAAGAGCTAAATCTGACTTTACTGACCATTGAATAAACTGAGATAAATGGGAAAACCAAAGCCACCACAGTTATTTGTTGAAAAGTATCATATTTTCCGAACTCAATCCAGACTTAAATCAGCTGCAGAATTACTTGAACAGTAGTAGAGGACAGAAGAACGGGTCCTCCTGGTGTGGCCTGCAATACACAAACAAAGAGTTAAAGGCGTCTTCTTCTATGTTAGCCCATCCAAGAAATACAATCTGATGCTGTGACCTTCACCTGTTTATAAGTAAGAAGCGATCAGAGTGCTGGAGGCTCATCCATGTGGTCTGCCTGCCGGCTGTGAGAACCTCCCTTTCTGAATCTCTCAGGTAGGATGGGTGAAAGTATGTAAGGAAATCTGTCGCTATCAAGTCTTCTCCACAAAACTTTGATCTGTGGCACTTTCTATGAAACTAAGTAACAAATTTCCGGCGATGAGAAAATCTGGCCAGCTGTTCTCTTTCCTTTTATAAATGAGTAGAATTTTTATCCTGTTCTAAAATTCTTTCTTACTTACTGACAACAAAAACTGCTAATGAATTTGAAATACTAAAGGATTATTCTGTTCTTTCATTAAAGCTGAAAAACTGCTGAAAAAGCTTGCTTTTGTCTTTCATTTGTTTCACTTTAACATAAACAGTTCCTGACTTGAATGGCTTATATTTACAGAGCGATCCAAAGGATATTAGCAGTGACAGGCAGATAAAGAATTTCAGCTTCAGTGTGAATGGCTATATCTTGAGAGATGTCCTTCTTCTGCTCTGTTTCGTCACAAATGGCAAACAGCTGAACCTCAAGTTCGACCTGGAGACCTGCAGCCACCTATAAAGACAATAATCTAATTAATTTTAAAAGGGGCCTTTTCCAAATTCAACGTTGACACATACCGGTATAACAGCACCCAATATGAAATTAAATGATTAAAATAAGACAAAAAAGTTGAACTGTGACTTTAAACACATGATATATTTAGCTGGAAAACCTACAGGTCCACGGTTGTAGAGGACTCTGAGGCCTGTGGTTGGATGCGGCTGTTTGACATAGAACCTGACAGCAGCAGAGTGGAAAATATAAATACATTGGATATAAAGCTGTAAAAAAAAAAGCTACATCTACCCGCATGGATTACTAATTCCCTTTCTAATGGTGTACCTGGACACATCGAAACCCACATTCCTCATTAGCACGGTAATGGTTGAGCAGGTGTTTTTCTGCTTTGTGCCAAAATCAACACTCGATGGGAGAAGCTGGAAGCCCCATAAGGCATTACTGGGATTGGCTAGGGAAGCTGTCCGACACATCCTCCTAATAGGTTTCTCCACTGCCAGGAACTGGAAAAGAAATAGAACGTAATAAATATAAAAAAAAGGTTGTCCAAAACAGCTGGGTCCTGAGAATTCATCCCTAACCCCCCACTTTAATATGATTAGATGGACAGCTGAGGTAAATTTAATTTAAGCCTGATTACTGACCAGCAGAATCAGGAAACACAAGTAAAACATGGAAAAGAATCAAGTAGGCAATCCTATAAAGTAAACCTCCATGGAGGGTACATGCATCAAACATGATGGAGTGTTAAAGTCAGTTTTAGCGAAAAAAGCCATTATGAATGGATATGAATGGACCAGTTGAAAACCTTTTCAGTTATGGCAATCAGAATTACTCCAGGTGTGCATTACAGACTAATGCAGGAGGTAACAAAGGATCCCAGAACATCTAAATCATGGCAGGCCTCACTTCGCCCTGAATGACTGGAAAAAGCTGCATCCAGGACCAAAGCACTAATGAAGATTTTTGAGAAACAAATTTGTAGCTGATTAATTAGCACTACTGCTTACAAAAACAACATAAACCCTGAAGTCGCTCCCTTGATAAATAAATCTGAAAGCTGCCCATTGTAACTTCTCAGGTTTTCCTTTTCTTTCAAATTTGTGTGACCAACATGTAAATAAAAAAACAAACAAAAACAAAGGATAAGCTGTTTTACATCAGATATATGTGGGAAAGTATATATACATAGGTTTTTATGGATATAACATATTGTCTTATGCAGTGATGTAGCACATCACGCAATAACAACCGTAACCCTAATAAACTAATTTGATCTGACAAAATAGTCAAATACATTTTAATAAAGAAAACAGGAAAGCAGAGGGGACATGGTGTTCATTTTTACATGTTGGTTTGGCACGCTGGGAGGTTTGGAGCTGAGGAGGTAGCCTGGCAGTCTGACCTTCGTCCTTCTGGGTTTTCCCATCACATCCAAATGGGCAGACTTACACTGCGCTGATGAGCTCATCAAGCTGCTTTCACCTGGATCTGAATCAAACACAATGAAATCTGATTAAAGCTGTAACACATAAAACGTGGACTTCTCACCACATGCATCTCAATGTTAGAGGGAAAAAAGAATTGTATGCATCCTCTATATCAAGATTGTCTAGAGGAAAAACAGAGTTGTTGACTTAAATGTCTCTGTAGCATTTAGTTTTGTCTTTGGTGTTTATAGTACTTTATTATCCATTTTTTCTTTCTTCTAATGAAGGCAGTACCCTGAGGGAGTATATTAGAGACAAGGGGACTAAATGGGGGTTCATTAGAATACAAAACAAGAAGGAAACAAACCAGCTGACTGTGAGATGGGGCTTGTGTGTCTCCTTTCAGGCGTCTCCCTTTCTGCTGCTTGACTAAAAACAAATAGCTGTTATTATTATTATTATGCTGCATTCTGTGTGAACTGAAGCAGGTAAAACATAAACTGTGTTTTACCTTTCTGACTGAAGTGGCGTTGGGTTTAAAGACCGAGGGGCTGCGGTAACAAAATTTATTTCAAGATAGTATACAACAAATATTTAGTGCAGATCAGTTAAAATCACAGATTCTTGTTAAGCCTGAGATGAATAACTTACTGCTCTCCTGGGGAGCATCTTTAAGGATAGCCTCAGCTCTGCTCTGTGATGGACTCCTCATAGCAGGTATTTGGCTCCTTAGCAGACCCTAAATGAACAGGCAGCTATTCACTAACAGAAATCTTTAACAGGTGAGTATAAATGTATTGTGTAATAAACAGATATACTGTATAATACTTGGTAAATTGAAAGGTTTTCTGGATGCAAATAAGGAACAATGGTCTTCTTTCTCAAAGCCTCCCTGTAGGCTTTCTCCTCACTGATCTCCTGTCTGAAACACATAACATATTACCCATAAATCATCTGCACTGTCAGTTGCATACGTTTTTAATAATGCCCGTGGAATAATTTCCTGCTTTCACTCATATAGATATGAGACTGAAATAGGACTCTCTGAATAAAAAAAATAAAACATACAAGAAATTAAACATTAAATATTTTTGTTGTCAGAAAAATTTCCTTAGAGCGTAATGGAGTGTGAGTCAATAAACATTTATGGATGATGGCTTAGCAATGGTGACATGAGGTAGCCTGATAAACCAGACTAAATGTGAGATTAAATGTGTAATTTAGTCTGGCCCCGATCAATGAGACATCGGAAGAACTCGTTGTTTTTCAAACCATGTCTGTGCCTATTGGCAAACGCTCTGACCAATGAGCGCAACTGACTGTGAAGTAGGAAGCGCAACAGAAAGCTGGTGGGGAAGTGTAAACAAACAGTCTGTCGCTAAAACGGCGAATATGTCCTTTAAAATGAAAGAGCATAGAGACTCTTCCTGCTCATGTTTCAACGAAAACCCCAAGTCTAATCCGTCCAAAACTGATTTGTTACCATCTACCTAGAACCAGAACTAAACATAGAGAAGCAGCATTTAGTTCCTATGCTAAGTGCGGAAAGCCTGAGTTCCTTTAAATCAAGACTAAAAACACATTTGGTTAGGATCGCCTTCGACTGTTCTAGTTAAACAGTTCAACTAAAACATCATTAGTTCAACTTTTTTATTCTCTTTAGTCCAACTGTTTGTAATATTCTTTTTTGTTTCTGCATTTTTAATTTTTTTTTATTTCTTTTTTCCTACTTGCTTTGATTCTGTTTTATTTCCCTATATTTTAATTATGTTAAGCACTTTGCATTGTCTTTGTACTAATTTGTGCTATACAAATAAATTTGCCTTGCCTTGCCTTGCCTTGTTGGGCTTTCTTCAGCGACGCGCAGCTTCGTCGTCCCACCCTCAAAACCCCGCCCGCTTTGCATCCAGAAATTCAAAACACATCTCTACATTGTGATTGGCCTGCCAGTTCCAGGGCCTGGGGCATTGATCGAGGCTAGACCACTCGCAAGAAAAAATTATTTTGGCTACTCGCGGGTGGTTCTAGTTTACTAGGCTAGAGCATGATTTTTAGTAACAAACAAAACCAGATGGCAACTGAGGCACATATTTGCTTTCTATCAGGGTTAAATAAATACGCATACAGCCAGATCCAGTGCTTTAACTGAGCCGGTAAGCAATGGTACGCAGAGTTTTAACCATTTACCCATCAGCATAGCAGCATGCAGGATGTACCAGGATCTACCCGCATGGATTAGGACAAGGATACTAAATCACAGCCCTACATTTAATTTCGTGGTGATGCTTTTGCACAAGCTGATTCCTGGTGATTATTCTTAACGCACAAAGCAATGCGCAATGAGATCCACTATTTGCATATGATTAAGCGCTTTCTCTCTAGCCAATTTTTTGTAAAGGCTGAACAAGGGATAATTTCTCATGTGTTTATAGCTTTTGTGCTTATCATTTTTCATTTATTCAAATAAGCTTAATGTTGCCCTGGTAGTGAATAACTGTTTGTGAAACCATGTTGAAGTTTTTTGTCAACAACAGTAACAACAACAGTCTCCTCTCTAAAGTCGGGCATACACTGTACGAACATCACCCTTTTGGGGCCCATTCTCCAGTGGTGCGAGAATTTTTTAGATCGGGGCGAGTTTCAGCCTTATCGTGTGTCTTGCGTCATGTAGTATACAGGGCAATTAGCCTCTAACGACCACCTCGCAATCAGGAATCATCAGGTTCCAATCAAAAATGTTTGAAATTCAAACGGCCGCCGTGGGGTGTTCGAGGGCAAATCCTTCTGCTGAAGCAGAGCTATGAACCGATTTACCAGAACCTCACGCACGGCTCATGCGCAAACAAGGGATTTATTTTCCTCTTCTTCTGCCACATTAAACAGTCCATCAGCGGCATCTCTCAGCACTGAGTCCGACATGTGGTTTTTGGACGTGCAGTGTGAGCAGATAGATCGCATCAGAGCATTGCCCCGTACAGTGTAAGAACATACATCGTGAGCTGTGAACTTTTAAACCCTGCGGTTTCATCGTACAGTTTGAGCTGTAGCTGTGTTTGATTAAAAATATTGTACAGCGTGTGCTCCGGCGATGGTGTAAATATCAGTTAGCAGAGACAGCAGTTGCTTACGGGCCCACAACCTCTTAGAAGCCCCATCACTGACACCTGGTGGGTCCCCTATGCAATTGTGGACATCACCCCCATCACTTTGCAGATGTAATGGTGAAACAAACTCCTCTTAAACCCACCTGATACTACATTGACTGAGTGGACCGTATTTATACCCCAACACATGCCAGATTTCAACATGATGGTGAGCCGTTTAAACACGACACCAATAGCAAAGCAGACAGAGGTACTTTTAATTACTATGTTAATAACTGTGTATAGTTCATTAGACGGTTGGTAAAAAATACACTTATATAATATGTTTTAAACCGCAATAAAGATCTTAAAAGAACAATGTATTTCGAAAAGCATCTCCCTGAAGTTTTTGGAAGTTGGGATGTCTGTAACATGCCGTGGTGCGCTGTCACCAATGGTTCCATTCAAGGTGCGCAGTCACTATTTTTCCGTGTGTGATGTGTGATGATATACTACAGAGATTTGCATAATCGTATCATCTTGACCGTTTTATGGAACTGCTGCCATATCCTGAAACTTTATCACGTGTTGTACTTCATATGGGGCCCACCCAGATAATGTTGCCTATTGTTGTGTCGCTACGCCACTGTGCCCCAACCTAAGAGAGGTGAGCAGTAGGTGGGACAGGGTGGAGCTGTCTACCAAATTTTAAGAAACGGTAGAAACAACTGAAACAAATAACTACAAATAACCACAGTCGAGGCTGGAGAGAAGCCCATCTTTTTCCTGAGGATATATTTTTTGGTAGTATAATTTTGTGATTTTTTTACAAGCCTAATTTTTGTATTGGGTTGAATACAGGGTAAAATAACTGCTAAAGTTGCATTGTTTTTTTGGCCAAATACTAAGAAGAAATATATTTTACAAACGTAATAAGCTTACTGAAATCCTAAGAGGGAGTTATTGTCTCTTTATGTTTTCAAAGAGTTTATATTTTATGTATCTTTTAAAAAAAATGTAATTTCTAATTTCCATGTTGACATCATGAGGCCTGAAGTTAATAAAAAGGCTTCATGACACAAAGATTTGATTTAGAACTGTATTCATTTGAATTTCTGTACAACAAAACAGGATCTATGGTTGGATAAATAGATCTGTATAAAATATTATCTATGTTTCTGTTGTATATTTGTATAGCAATAAGGAGGGCATCCGAACTCAGTTATTTCCGTTTTAAAGCATTGGCCAGATCCCTGATGGACTGGTGTAGATCAAAACACACTTTGTTCATGTGGTCCAGTCAAAGTTCACAACATAATCTAACTGACAGTCTATAGAACCTGAAAATAGATGCCCCACATATTTTCAGGTTCTTTAGACTCACCAGAATAGGAAAACCGAATAGAATTCCACAATGGAACTGATTAAGGTCCCAGTATTTACTGCAAGAAACAAAAGAAGGTTTAAAGAAAGCAAACAATCACAACAACAGCTTCGTTTCTAGGTTTATTTAAGATCTCTCTAGGAATTCCTGAACTTTATAGAAATTGGCCATTTTTTATTCTGGAATGAGATATGAAAGGTCAAGGAAAGGAACCACTGATTTAGCTGCTTTATCTTCTTAAAGAACAGATATTAAGATTTAACCAGTTACTAAAAGCTGCTTTATACAAACTAATGTCACCATGGATTCTATTAACCTGTGCTGCTCAAGTCTTCTGGGCCAGTTTGAATCTTTCCGATTAGCAGAACTGGAAAATAAAGAGGCGGTTGAAATGATACTGGTTTAATGAAAGATTTAATCACTTTTTATTAGGATACATACCCCAGTAATCTCTCCAAGCCGGTGCCTTCTGGAACATCTGACTGCTCAATTGATGCTGCCATTTTTTGACTGGCATGGCCGTCTGGAGCTGGACAGAGGAAAGTATAACATCCTCACCACAGTCAGAAGGCCATGTGTATTAGTCTTAACACACCAAGAAACTCTGGCATCTTTACGTCACTTCAGTAAGGAAAGATTTTGTGCTAATTTAATTTTCTTACCTGGGGTCCTGGTTTCAGCACTTTCACTCCCATCCACCTCCTCTTTCAAAGACTACAACATAAATTACTTTTTTTATATATTACACTATGAGGTATAAATATTACATGTAGCCATGGTTAGAAGTCAACAAGTGCTTCAAATTACAGCTGTATTTCTACAGGTGTCTGTTTTTCTTTCCAGAATGTAAGTAAGGAGATCCCTTGCCTTAGCAATCCCCTCCTCGCTGCAAGGATCTTTCGGTTTCCTTTCTTCTGACTGGAGATCTCTCTTCATCAAATCCTGCATGTATACCTGCATTCACATTTCAGCATTTGTCATCTAATTAATAAGGTTCTTTTTCAGGAAGCTTGCAGAAAGAAATAAAAACAATCACTACATGCTAACCTATAAATGTATCAACACATCTGATCGACAGAGAGGAGGATGATGGGAAAATGCTACCTTCAGCCGTGAGTCTATAGTATCTCTGAGTGGTGGGGTGAAAGCTCGGTGCTGGTAGAGTTGCCTTATCTCCAGGACCTTAGGGGAGCACTGGAAAAGTTGCTGCTTTCCTGCAGAATCACAACCTCTCTCCTTCAGAGTGAGACCAACCCCCACGTCAGCACCAAGAGGAGGACCTGGTTTCTTTTTCTGGAACAGAAAGAAACTCAGAAGGGTTATATATTTAATGCTGACCATGTAAATGTGGAAGATTTTTTATGTATGTACTTCTACATGAGGGAGGTTATTCCAGCTGCGGTTCCTGAGATTGGGAGGGGTGATGTCAGGTTCCTGTTTCTTTAGCAGCCATTGGGACCACACACTCTCATGGCTGGGCTTTAGGATAGTGATGCAAAACTCATCTGCAACATTAAATGAAACGCACAGATGACCAATAATCTACTCAAAACTATCAGCAAATACATTTACAGAAGAATATGTCTTGTTTTTAGAAATGTCCAACCAATCAAGCAATCCCCCACCCAGCCAACCAGTCATCAAAATAAAGCAAATAAAAGGAAATAGAATAAATCAAGATAAAAACAAGACAGACTTTACCAAAGTTTAATCATAAGTTCTTGGAAGAAATAAAAAGATGCAGCACTGAAAACAGGATTAAAACAGGTTTAACAAGATGCCATCACATCTTTAGAAGTCTTGTGGAAATTAGCATTTTGCTACAGCAAGATATCGTGCATCTTTATTTTAAAAAGGTCAATGACGTGAGGGATTTTTTCTGTGCAAAATAAAAAGGTCATCATTAATCCATCATCCATCCATCTTAATCAACCAAATAGCTATCGATCTATTTTTATCCTGCTCATGTAACACTGGTGGATGATCCAGGATGAAAAAGCAGACAACTCACTCTCCATAGACACGCTCAAGCTCGGCAAAGGAAACCAAGTTCTTTGAAGGCCAGAAGGGAATTCCTCTTATCAGCAAGTTGTGAATCAACATTGCAGTCTACATCCAGCAAAAAGGTACAGAAAACCTAAGGTATGCCAGGGTTCTCACCAGCGAATTTCTGTGTAGTACTATAGGCCTTAACACAAAAAACTCCCAGTTGTCATCAAATCAGGCCGATGCACCCGGATTTCAGCCCTTTAAATTTGACATTTGGGCTTCCTTCCTTAAACTTTTAGAATTACAGTGGAATTATGTCGATACCCTGACTCTTAATTTGCGTAATGACTGTGTAAAACTGTGTTTTTAAACACATTTGCTCACAAGGGAAGTGCTGTGAAAATGTCAAAATGACCACCATCGTCTAAACAATGTAGGTGGACACATTGTTGCCAACTTAGCTACTTTGAAGCTATATTTAGTGATTTTCCAGACTCCTCTATTAATTTTCTTTTTCTTCAAAAAAGCAACTAGCGCCATATTTATCGACCATTTCCTGCCTTGTTGAAGACTTTGATGACAACATGAAAGCATGATCGCTCCTAGTTTACCGTTCAGCGAGCAGCGATTGTGCAAACCCTTCCTTCCTCCAAAACATTGACGGGGAGTCAGGCGCAGCAGCTGCAGCCCGTGTCTTCAATCAGTAAGCTACGAGAGAGCTTCCTCTATTTCCTCATTAATAAGTAGTCACGCAAGCACAAAGCTTCCACTGTTCCCCTTGAATTAAATAGCAGGATGTAGATATAATATTCTGCGTATTTTGCACTAAAATAGATCTTCACTACAAGTCATAGACAGCCCCATTCACTGTGTTCCTCATTTAACTTTCTTTAAGTTGGATTTGATAACATAAGATTGATTAACGTAGTTTTAGTTCATGTTAAAATAACCTCACTGATCACTAGAAATTCTTTGTTAAGGTTCGTCTTAAGTTTTAAAGGTAGTTGCAGTATTTTTAATCTTGCCAATGTTGATTTACTTATAATATACCAATGATGTGATGATGTCATTTAGCAAACCCCCTCTGCTATGCAGGGGAGAGCCTTCTTTGCTCCTGGGGGACACCCAATTCAGATGTTCTCACCACCTCAGTTGAAAACTTGTGATGTGGAGGAGCAGACTCCTCTACCAGTCCACTGTGATAATCAAGTACATCAACCTGTCATTATCTCTAAGGCTGAGCCCAGCCACCCTATGAATGAGGCTGATTTCAGCAGCTTATAAGCAGTTTTATTCCTAATCCATATCCTATACGATTGGAATAAAGACTGGTTAGTTAACAATTGTAATGAACAGTATGAGTGTTATATTTATAAATGGGTACCTTGTTTGTCTGGTAAAGGCTCCTTCAGCACCTCAATAGTAGGGTCAGAGTATGCCTCATGGAGCAGTTCCTCTACAGTATGAGAGTTTAGCAGTTCAGTGCCTGACCCATCTTCATGCACCAGAAAAAGCCTATAAAAACAAAACAAATATCTATATTATTTTCTTTTTAGAAATTTGGTATTAAAAAATCCTTTTTACACAATCATGCAACAACTTTGCAAATATTATACCTTCAGTGTTAGTTTATAATCTACAAATTTGTTACATAAAAGATGCTAAAATGAGCAGAATGTGTGTGAAAGGACACCTGGGACAAAGATCTTTGTGTTTTGCATTCGGCGTATTTGTTGCTCCGTTTGATTCTTCTTTCTCTTGTGTAGGCGTGCCCGGTGGGGGACTAGAGCTTAGCACTACAATCTGTCCATCTTCCATCACCTGCACCACAGATTCACATCTTCAGAACACTTGGCATAATGAGACATAGATGTGTTATCTGTTTTCTTTTTTTTTTTGCTTCGTTTGGTTTTTTAAGTCTTAAGAAACAGAAAACCTAAAACGGTCAAAGCATAAAACTTAAACAACTCACTATCAATCTTTCCATTGTATTTTAAAGCACCTACTTTATATGTTTTCCAACACAATTAGTGTTGCTTAGTGACCTATTAACAACAGACAAGTATTTAGGCAGCATTCTCTCTTGGCCCATAGATTCTATTCCTATTTAAAACCATTTGCCTCGGGGTTTAAGGAAAGAAAAAACCTCTACAACCTATAATTGGGTTGAATAAGCTGCTCTTGACACTCAAGATTTTTTTGCAGCTGAAATACATGACAGAGGTGTTGGACGTAGGACTCACACTGAGCTTTCCTCTATGTCTGGGTTTGCATTGTCTCACTCGAGTCATTTCTGTCCAATATTAGCATCAATCATGACACACGGGGGGTTTTAGGAATTAAAGTGCCCCTTAAACAACTTAAATGTAAAAGCTGCCCTCACCAAATGACAAAAAGGTCAACTTTTGGTCTAGAGGACTTTCATATTGTTAACAAACCCAGGCTGAATAAAAATGACTCCAGCACAGGCTGACACTTCAAGTTTCTTAAACAAGAAAAACTTTTTATTCTTAATGAGTTTTATTTTAAATTTTATTTTTTGTTTATTTACATTTCTTTTTATTACAGTGTTTGTCATGATGTCTTTCTGCACTGAGGAAGATGATAGCTGAGCATGGGCTCTATAGAGTTCATTTACAACTATAGATATGATACAGGTTTGTTAGATTTCCAGGCTCCAACACAAACAACATTTCTTCAAACTCATCGCTGTAAAAATCACCATTAATCTTGACCTTATGTAACTCTGAGTTAAAGCTGTTAATATCACTTCTTCTATCTTATCTTTTCATGCAATGAGGACTAACTTTGACATTTCAGACCTAATGTCAGCTGATTTTTTCTCATGGCTTCTTTGTATATTTATTGTTTATGGACGTAGTGGTGAACTGTACGTAAAAACAATCATTTATGCTATTTTAATGTGTTTAAATATATATTTTTCTAGATGAAGGGTTTTATCTGAATTTAAAAACCAGGAGATTCAGGGTGGGGCATGTATTCAACAACCATGAACCCCTAAATCATAAAAGGACAACCTTGAAGTGGTTTCCGTTGTTGTCGGTGACATCACAGGCTATGTTGTCGGTGTGACTCATGGTGTAAACTCCTGGTTGGTTAGTTGGAGAGAAACCTTTTGGCTGGAGGTCAGAGGAGTACACACATTTCCCATCACTTTGGATGCGCAGATATCCTGCACCAGATGGGAACACCTACCAAACAAGAGCATATGATTGGGAACGATTATACATTTGGGCGGGTAATTAAAACAAGCCATTTAGAATTCAATAAAAGAACACATTATGAGTTAGATGCTATCTGATGGTTAAATCAGTGATTTCTGTGGCTGATAGAACAGTATTGAGTCACACCTCATACTCAGCCTGGCTGTTCCCAGTGATGATGGTTCTGTCGGCTAAAACGACACGAACTGCTTGACGGTCTGGGTACATCTCTATTGTTGCAAACCCCTCCTTCTCCACCAGCATCATCCTCTCCTTGACAGATTCTCCTCCTTCTTCCCTCTTACCGCTCTCACTTACATATTCCTGAGGAAACACACTCTCATCCTCTCCAACTATAATCTTTTGATGTAATGTGTGGCCTCCTGAGTTTCTGCTCATCTCTATTCTTTCGTCACAATCGTCTCTAAAGTCTCTATTCTCCTTCGATTTGTTCACGCAAACAGGCTCCTCCTCTGGAAAAGAAACAGAGAGCTCCGTGTTTCTGACAAAGTTTCACAGTTTTGTTGCTGGTGGATGAATGTGATTAGGAAGTGTCAGGTTGTTCAGCGTACACATTACCATTACGTGCTAGAAGGAAGCTGCTGATCCTAGTTCCATCTCTGTGGTCGACAATAAGTGATCCATCTGGGTTCTGGACTATCACAACCTGATCTTCCCGGGTCGATATAACCTTACAACAGCAAAGCATTAAACAGTTTAACCAATAAAAAGCTCTGTTTATGCACCAATGGTTATATACATGAAGCACCTGATGTACAGTACTATGACTTCTTATGAAACTGTCCAAATTATACTTTTAGTCACTCTAAGGATCTTTAAGTCCTTTTACGCATTTGGCTGTTTATTCCAGAAAAGGGTTGCAAAGTGACGAGACCATATGATGGCAACATTGCATTTACATTTCTAGACAAGGTGAAAATTACTGGATTTCAAATGGGGCCTCAAAAGTGATTTAAGGGACTTAAAAGTGTTACAGCCCTGGAGTACTTTAGAAGCTGTAGGTCTACTGGCAGTTTCACATGCAGCCATTTCTTAGGTTTATAAGGTAGTCTGAACAATTTTAAATTTTATTTTAGTAACAGAACAAAACACCTTGTTGGAATCACGGTATGCAGAACATAATTTCTGAAAATGTAACATCTTGAAGCTTGGACACTACAAATAGAGCACTACACCTGGTGTTAGTCCTGCCTGCTCTAACAGGAAGCCAGAAGTATCTGGATGTTTGACAAAGATGCTTCTTTGAGAGACAGATGCCCCTGATGCAGTCATTGGACAGAAATAAATATATCATCCTTTACCTGCAGGCTTTAATCACTACTTGTTTTTTTATCTTTGTTAATGCAGGAACCCTACTTTTTAGAGGTATATGGATGTGAACAGAATTTGTTGCACTTTTTTTGAAGAGATGGGGGATAAATGTTTGGATTTACTTTTCTACCTTTTCTTTTCGTAATGTCAATCCCCCCTTACAGGACAGCAGAGCTCTTTAGGCTCTACACAGTTGGAAACCCATGTAACCACCCTTGACCCATCCACTCCCATCCCAAATGAACATATTTTGCACATAAAAAAATATGCCATGGCCACTCTGGGCTTTGGTTTAAAACTTGATCTGCAGTGTGTCACCTGTTTGGTCCCAGGGTCTGTAGCCTTAAAGGTGAGAATAGAGGGTAGATCTCTGTGTATACTTCCATTTATGCTGAAGCTAACTCCAGATGAAGTGGTCATCTGCCACACTCTTCTCTTAGTCTCAGCTTCACCCTCCGATGTCTGATCTGCACACAAATAAAACACAGAAGTGTTTGACAAAAGCCACATTCAATGTGATGCCTACGCTTCTACTGGTGAGATCAGATCTCTTTAAGGAACCAAACCTTTCATCTGGCCATCGGCTGTGTCATCAAGCTCCAACACTGGGTCTGAATCTGAGCTGAAACCAACTGATCCGTCTGGGAACAGAACCTACGACGTTAACATTACAAGGTTACTCAATATTTGTCTGTATAAATTCATACAGCTGCAGCTCAGACTTCACCTCCTATTATTCATATTTCAGATCTGTTCATGGTTTTAAAATGATGATAATAATGTTAGAATTGTCCAAACGTAATTGTTTCATGTTGGAATTTCCTTAGCAGAAATTAATAAAGTATCTGGTTGTTGTCATGCTGTGGGGGATGTTTTCTTGTTGGGCTAAAAGACAGGAAAGTTTTATCACTAGGAACAGGAGATTTAAACATTATGTGATCTAAAACACCTTATTGGATGAGCAGCAGTAAAACATCTAACAGCTGTGAACCTCCCATCAGGGGAAAGCTACGACTCTCTGTGGTGAACACACAGGTTGAAGACGTGGCAGCATCAGTGTACAGTATGTATACCTCTGTGGATCCATCTCTCAGGTAACGGATCACAGCTCCCTGGCTCGTAACAACGCGATATAGTTCCTGAGAAAGGGATGCGTCCTGAAGATGCTGCTTACATCCTTTACCATGGAAAGGAAAGCTCTGCTTCACCAAGATGCCCTCCTTTGGAGACACTCCTGCTCACAGAGGAAATTTCAGGGTAATTACTTTTATTTACATAAAATAGAAACTTTCATAACATTGAAGCTTAAGCACAGTCATTCTGGATTGAGAGGATCTATGGACAACGTTTCAGGTTTGCTTGAGAGGCTGAGTTAGAATTGGACCGTATACTGTGATCTAAACTCTTCCTTTGTATCCACCGGCCCCATATAAAGATAATTTTATGTTTCCTTCTAGGACTGCACTGAATTTACCTTTATCCATTTTCCCATCAGAAAATACCTACAAATTCAACTCCTCATAAAAGGGAAAAATAGGGTGAAAATATTAATTGTTTAATAATCATGACTTGTGCTTTCTCTTGAATATCATTGCAATAGGACCACAAGTATCCAGGGAAATTCAGTTAAAACCTGGCTGCAACTGCAACCGCATTGAATGTATGAATTAAGCCAGGTTTTATGGCGAAAATATTTTTAGAGATCCAAATTATCTTATGTCTGTCTATAAAAAAGGTTAACCTACAAAATCCTGATCATGTTTTACTGTAGATCTACAGTGAACTACAGAAGATGTGCTCACAAAAATGATTCGCTTTACTTGATTGTTTAGTTTCTTCTTGAGCAGATAAAAATGATTTTGTAAATATTCTACAGGTCTTGAATATATAAAAATAAGCCATTTCTTTAGGCCTGCATTGCTTTATAATCTGCTAATTTTAACATCTCAGCTGCTTTATCCCTGATTTTCTTTATTCTTCATAATGCTGTTTGTATCCTAAAAAAATCTCACGCCTGCAAGAAACATCTTTATTTATACTGCCAACAAATTTGATGCAGATAGACTCTTTATCTACGAACTTTTAAAAGCTCTTGTTTGCACTGGATTGTATTATATGATGG